CTACATCTCTGCTCAATTCTGTAGTAACAAGATCCAGTTACAATAAAATGAAGAATATTCTCGACACGATATTCATTCCACTTACAGTCGATGGACCGAGTGAATCGATGTGATTCACGTTATTTATTTCTTACAGTGCAGATGTAAGGCTTGCTGAACTACTACGCTGTTATAGTATGGAAATAGCACATAGTACTGTTCAATACACATATTACGCACAGACAAGAACACATTTTTCTTCCGTGTGAAAGCCGGTGCGAAAAAGAAATAAACATTTGTAAGCAGCCAATATAATGAAAATGCGAAGAAATGAGGTATTCAAAAAACAAACTAGTTTGGGTTGTTTTTCAATTATTATTTGATTTTTAGCCTCTCTGTATACTTTCATGTTCTCAGTTGATCAGTCGCACAACAAATAGTGATTCTGAATTTCTGAAAAACCGGGTGTCATTTTCTAGAAAATCATTGAATTTCTAAGAAATTTTTGATTTTTTAGAAAATAAACCCACTTTATGGAAAATCAAGAATAGCTTTTAGAAATTCAAACAATTTTCAGGTTATAGACAATTCTGAAAACTTTTCATACTTTGTAGAAAAGCAATATTTAAGAAAATGAAATGCATTTTCTGTAAAATATAAAACCTGGATTTTTTGTTTATTCTAAAATGCTCAATAATTCTATAAAAACTGGAAAATGTTTGACAGTTTTGTGATCGATTTTCCATAAATTAGAAATTAATTTCTTATAACAGTGTAGCTCAAGGATCGGATAAAGATGAAACATCACAGTTGATTACACCGAATAAACCGTTACAAAGTCGTCTACCATTCGTACAAATTTAAGTAACTTAAATAGTGTATTAACGAATCATTTGGGACATCATAATATTTGGCTTTATTTAAGTAATGGGGTGACAAAAAACGGTCAGCAGTGTCACAGCGTTACCGTTTTTCTGTTTTTTCTTTGATTAATACAGATCAATTAGAATAGTTTCGACCTTGACAAGCTATCATATCTTGTAGAGCGAACAATTTTCTGCAAACTGGTATACTTGTTCAAGGTTTACGAGCTTGTCTTCACTCTTTTACACACGCTTTTCAGACAGCCCCAAAATTAATGTACGAAAGCTGTATTTTCATAACAAATCAACGTTCAGAGTCGAGACACTTTTCATTTTGTAGAGAAATGTTTAATCTATTTAATCATCTAGTTGCCATTTTAGATTAGTTTGTAGCTTTCTTGCAATAACTTTTCGAAAAAGAGCAAAAAATGGAGGCCGTTAGCTGGACAAGCCGTTAATGACTGTGTTTGTACTGCCTTTAAAGGTTGAAAAATGAAAACCAGAAAATCATAAAGATATACTCTCATGTTCTTAGGTTTGACAAACTATTTTTTTTTAAACCTTTGGTAGCGATCCGGTAGTACACACATTCGCTCATATTGTACTTTAGTTAGTCTATTTCCTCACTGGTCAGTTCCTTCAAAAACTTCAATTTCACCCTGTTTGACTGTAACCCAGACTAGGCATGCAACAATTCCAAGCTAGGGCTCGCTGATCGACAGCGAACATGTTCGGTAACAAACCATTCGGTGCCGATCAGTGAGCCCTGGTTTGGGATTGTTGCATGCCTAGTAAAGAGGGAGATGTGAGAGCGTGAATAATAACACGCATATTATCAATTAAGAAAAAAACGAAAACAAGGAGATCAGGAGAGTAATTTAACTTTTTATTGATTTTCATGTCACTAAACACGAATGGGTCATTTCTGACCCGTTCTGCACCTCCGCAGTGAACGAACTTCGCTCAAATTTAAGTATACCAGTGTCATATTGAGCACCTACATAAGCTACTCCCGTGGCCGATTCAACACCAACTCTACTGCATTTGAGGGGATAAAGGGTAAATAGTACTGAAAAAATGTAAAAATTATTATACATAATAACAGTCATTTACCTTATTTTTACTTCAAAATCAGTAAAGTTTGTGAAGATGAAGTGTCTTCTCTTTGTTTTTTTTACATAAGTGGTATCATTCTTCAATATTTAGTCTCTATTTTGTTTCATGTCACCATCTGGATCAATGGTTTTCATTGTGGAAAAGTATTCATCACGTTGATTGAGTCATCTGAAATATCAGTATTGATGGAAAATGCTGAAGCATATCACCGACAATAAATTAAAGTTTGTTTAGAGTTAACGAAAAGTGCTTTTTCGTATTCAGTACACTTGATAACTTGGAAAATTTTCTATTCTTAGCGAGGGGCCAAAAAGTTAAGAAAAATTTTCGAAAGTGTATAATTTTACCATGGAGATTTTTCTGCGTCAATTTGTTTGAAAATTTTTCTTAATGTTTTCGCGATACCCTTCGCTAAAAATAGAAAATTTTGCAGATTATCAGATGTACTGAATACGAAAAAGCACTTTTCTTTAACATAAACAAACTTTAATTTTTTTTATCGGTGATATGTAATAGTCTTTTTTAGAAAACTATTTTTTGTCTATGGTGTCCTTATTACACAACTGTAGTTGCAATTTCTCTTGCATATTGCAAATACACTGTCGAAAAATCTTCAAATGTGTATGATTTTCTGGAAGTGAATTTTGTCCAATCTGCAGAGCATGTTCAAAAAACGATAGTGCTCTTGAATAATCTTTCATATTTTCATATGCTTCACCAATATTTTTATAATTGACAGCAAGATCGCGATGATTAGAAGAGAGAGATTTTTGTCGAATTTCAAGTGCCTTTTGATAGAGTGAGAGAGCGTTCGAATAATCTCCCATATTATTGTACACGATACCGATGTTACTGTAAAACGTAGCTAGACCAGGATGATTTGAAGAGAAATGTTTTTCATGAACTTCAATTGCTTTTTGATAGAATGCAATGGCACTGGTGTAGTCACCCAAATTTTTGTACGATCCACCGATGTTGTTGTAGGTAGTAGCTAACGATGGATGATGAAGAGAGAGAGACTGTTTTTGAATTTCAAGCGCTTTTTGGAAGAACAAAAGTGCAGTTGAATCATCTCTATCATTGTGACTTATAACACCAATATTGCTGTAGATAGTGGCGAGCGATGGATGATTGGACGGAAGAGATTTTTGTCGAATTTCAAGTGCTTTTTCATAGCATAAGAGTGCGTTCGAATAATCACCCATGTTATAATGTACTCCACCGATATTGTTATAAGTCGTCGCTAATGATGGATGATTCGGAAGAAGAGCTCTCTGTTGGATTTCCAGTGATTTCTGATAAAATGACAGTGCATTCGAATCGTCTCCGATCTTGTCATACACTAGTCCGATATTGCTGAATGTAGTGGCTAGCGATGGATGATTGTCAGGAAGAGATTGTTGCTCAATTTCAAGCGTTTGTTCATAGAATGAGAGTGCACTTGAATAATCTCCCATATTCAAATAAACTCCACCAATGTTACTGTGAATAGTAGCTAAATCACGATGATGGATAGGAACACATTTTTTATCGATTTCAAGACTTTTTTGATAAAATGATAATGCACTCACATAATCGCCGATATTTTTGTACACAACACCGATGTCTGTGTAGATATCGGCAAGATCACGCTGATTCGAAGACAAATCATTTTGTTTGATTTCAAGTGTCTTTTGATAGAATGTGAAAGCTTGATCATAATCTCCTTTTTCGTCTTTAATTCTTCCAATTTGATGATAAATATGAGCGAGTTCTTTCTCATTCCTTCCGACTGCCTCATCAAGTAATATCTGGTAGATTTCTTCTGCTATGTCGAATTCTCCCATTTTAATCATCAATCGACCTAATCGATCATATTCTGTATTTCCCGATGTTTCTTTTCGCATAAGTTCTGTTAAAGTTTTAAGTTGTTCATCATTGTTATTTGTCGATATAAGTTGCACTTGCCATACTCTTTCATCAATTTTTCTCATCTCACCGATTCGAAATGTACTGTGCATCGAAAATAGAATTTCGTTTTCAGACGAAAAATAACTGATGTTCTCCAGTGAGGCAAATGGCGTCGATGTGTTTGCAATATCGATATGTATTTCAAAAAGAATACCGATCATTAACGAATTTTCAGCAGAACTTTGAGCATAGAGCAGAGACACTTGTCGATCAGTACTTGTCGATAAAAAGTTGTTGAAAGATAAGATTCCACCAATACTCTTTTGTAATTTTTCGAATTCAATATTGTACATGCCTTGACCTCGGTAGACAGTCCGTAGATCTCTAATTTGTGATGCTTCGGCGTGCACACGTTGAATTTGTCGATGAATGTCACATAAGAAAAAGCCCATCTTGATCACATGATCGATATCTATGGTTCGTAGAGCTCGATTGAGCATTGAATAAGTAAAATATTCTCTAGTGTACCACCATATGGCCAAATCAGGATTATAGTCTCGTTCGAATTCATCAATAATCTTCAATTGAAATTCATTGTCATGATAATAATCACGCCATAGTTGTCTTAGCTCTTGTCTAGCATTGTCTTCGTATTCAGCATCGAGAAGAATCTCTTTAAGCAATTGTGTATACATGAACGAAGGTTCAATATCATTTAAATCGTTCATCTGATAATCTGTTGGAGATAGAATGCTGATGGGTGATAAATCACGATCACATTGTTTTGTGTGTTGTTTTAGTAAATCACAAACGGGTTCGATTTCGGTGAAAAGTCCTTTGACCTTGGTAAATTTATTTATCCATATTTCATGTTCCGTTTTGTCCGAGCAGAAAATATAAATAGAGTAGAGTTGAGGTGTTGTATGGACAAGAGGAACAACTTCGTTTGCGAAGGCACCGGATATAATCATAAATACTTGCTCATGGTCTACTTCGCTAAGAAAATCTACACACTGCTCAACATTAGACAATATATGGATCGAATTGACAATTTGTCGTAACTGACCAATCGAATGTTGACACTCTTCGTTGAACTCATTGATATTGGAATCCAACCAAATAAGTACAAAGTTCTGCACGAGACGAATACGGGAGTGTCTGGCAATTCGACTTTTATCCATCTATGTCTTTGTCAATCTTAGTGATATTTGGTTCGAGGAATGTCTAATTCGTTTTTTCTTGTGTCTGTGATTTTTGAAGTTACATACATGAAGAGTAAGCGGTCGCCAATAATATTGCTTATGGATATCGCTCTTTAAACACCTTTTTTACGTAAATTCATCAGACATTTTCTATAAAACCCTAATCTTATCTTTGTTTCGGTACCTATCGTAATGGTTGACGTCGTTGTTGTCAAGTATCGACACTGGTTTGCGATGAATAATGTGAGAACAGTATAATAAAATGTTATCTCTGAAGACATAGCAACTCAGGTGAATAACAAGGGATCATAGTCAATGTATACGTGTATATAGTGACGTCACACTATTCACTTAGTTGTTATCATTTATCTGGAAAGAAAAAAACAGTGATATACCCAGATCGAAACTCTGTCCTGAGTCTGGACGACTCTGACCAGGGCAGGGGTGTAGCCGGTATCAAAACTTCGATACCGGTACCGGTCACCAGTATACCGATCGGTACCGGCTTGTCTTGATCGTGTTTTGCATAAATACAAACACTTTTTCCTTGTTTATAGAAATATGCCATAGATGAACTGAATTTACACGGTATTTTTCGCCAAATCGTATCATACTGCAAAATACCAGTAATGTTGACCGATTGATTATACTTCATACTAAAGCCGGTATACCAGTCGCCGTTAAAATTCATGCCGGTATACCAGTCGCCGTTATAATTCATACCGGTACCGGTTGCACCTCTGGACCAGGGTCTGAACTCTAACTGACTCTTGTTTGTTCTGTACGAATTACAAGACAAAAAAGGAACACACAATATACATTCATTCAAAGCCATAGTGTAGGAGTGATTGAGAGGGCGCAGGTTCTTTTTGACGTCGAGTGTTTTGATGCCAGTGTTTTTGAACATCGTCGGAGGAGTGAAGAGTGTTACTAAACAAAGAAAAGAGCAGAGCAGGCCTTTTTAAACGAGCCCTGAGACTCCCGGCTAAAGTCTCGCGGGACTCCCGTCACGAGCTCTCGTCGGAAGCCCCGCAGGCCTTTTTTTAAAAATCCGGCTGGAGTCCCAGTAAAATTCCGAAAACTCTAAACAAAATTGAAAAATTTCTCACGAGAGTCACGGAACGATTCAAATCTCGACAAGATCAGATCAGGATCGCAGCGCTATCGCGACAAGATAATAGCAACATTGTGACTAAATTTATAATTTGAATTAAATTGTAAGAAACTCTTGTAGTGAAAATAACGGAATATTATTTTAAATATTCATAACTTTCGTTCATTCAGTCTTTTATTTACATGACAAATTTTAATGAGTCATTTATTTTTCATACTTACCACTGGCTTCTATTCTTTAGTTTGTTTCTTAAGATAGTTAAGAAATCGATTTCACTATGTTTTACCCGGTTTTGTCTTCGGGGACATAATGCAATCAAGGTGAATCATTCACATCAGACTTGCTTCGAGGTTGAGCTTAAAATAAGCACACAGCAATTTTATTTGTACACACACTCCTGCTTTCTCGAATTCTTCTTTACTCGTCATGGGAATTACGCTAACGGTGTCTTGAACTTTGGAAAAATTTTGATTGATAGTTCAATACAGCTTCAGTCGTAAACTCAAGGGGGAAAAAACTTCAGGAGTCCATAGGAGTCCGCTTTTTCCCCCTTGCGTAAACTTCTCTAGATTCTCTCATGTAGTTGGGTGATTCTTTCGAGAACGTACCACATTTACATCGACCACGCCCAAATTATTCGAGAGTAAGAGGACTAGTACAGTTCGAGCTTCTGATGGTGAATATCACGTTTAAAAGTTTTTAAAACAACGGTATGATGGCCTTCTAGACCTGTGGAAACTCCATTTCCCAGCAGCACAGCCTGTTTGTGGTCATTTTCACCGTTTTAGTGAAACACTTTCATGAGCTGGTGCCATCAGATTAGATTCTATATGTGCAGAGCTAAAAAATCACTAGCGGACAAAATGTTCCAAAATGTTAAGTACGTTCTCAGGAAAAGTTTTAAAAATGTCCTTTTTTCCGAAAAGTAGGCCGTTTTTGTAAACTACTTTCCCCCCATAAAATCATATCAACAAGAGACAACAGGATATTCATTCGACACGCCTTTTCACGTTCTATCCGGTGAAGTGGTTCGCATTGCGAATAGGAAACGTTTAATGGTAGAAAAAACCAGCGTTTAAAGCCGATTTTCCTCGTTTTTCAAAGTTTGAATACGTGCTGCACCGTTCTACGGGATGGCAGGGCGTGGGATGACATATACTTCGCATGTACTCGATGTGGGCTATTAAAAAAATATATGTTGTTTCATACCGTTGTTTTAAAAACTTTTAAACGTGATATTCGTCACCAGGAGGCCGAGTTGTACTAGTCCTGTTACTCCCGAACAATTCGAACAAAGTCGATGTAAACGCTGGTGCGCTTTCAGAAGAATCACCCATTTCTCAATCACAGTCCGATATATAACGGAAAATGAGACGGTTGTTGTTTTATGGTTCGCGCGTGAATATTACCGATAAGGCAACGTTTGCCGTACGTGAAGAAAACATTCACGCTTGGACTTTCAGAGAATGTATATCCCTAGATATCATCGCTATGAATAGTTCGTTATTAGAGCCAATCTAATATTCTGTGAATAAGGCGGAATGCCTGAGCCCCAATCCTCTGTGCGTCAAACAGAACCGAACTGATTGTCGGTACATCCTGACAGCAAAGCGATCTTACACCAAGGATATTCACAACTTTATAAAACCATCAACCTTTTATGGTCAACGTTTTTCATTTCGTTTATACATGTATCGGACTCTTTTATTTTGTCCTATGCAAATTTCAGACGAAGAAAAATATCCTTCATAGAAATGTGCGTCTATACTTGTCTAACATTTTTGAAAGTGAGAGAGTTTATATAGTACACATAGACTTATATGGCAGCCACGTTTTTTGTGTACGTGGGTAAAAAACCAACTTTCATCTTTCCTTTGTTTGTCAACAGCACGTAAAATGCCTTTACAAAGTCTCCCTTCCACATTTTTCTTCTCTTTTAGATAACTTTTATCAGTTTATCTTTAACGTACAGAATGAAAAAACAACAATAAAAAATATTCTTTTATATTCTTCATTACTTTTAGTTTGTGAATTTGGAAGAAAACAGAGTTTCACCACGTTTTTAGAAAACTATGTTCGAAACGTCCTATTGTATTGAGCTACCCTTTGCTTATTAAGGGTTTCTCGATGAGCTCTTTAATTTGTTAACCGGAGAGTTTGTCCAAAATGCTCTGAAGTGGGGGTTCCAGAAAAAAAAATTTTTAATTTTAAATTTTAAAACTTGAACTTTTTCTAAAATTAAACGATCTCGGCGCAGGTAAGTGATAATTCTTCCTTTTTTCAAATCAATGTCATCATAAAGCATGAAGAGATACAATTGTTTAGGTGATGGTTCAGTAGCTGTTGGAGAATATTTTTGTAGTTGTTGTTCAATGTCCGAAGCATTATCAGTTGATAGAGGATAGTTCAGTACACTTATATTTCGATATTCTTTTGGAATTACTTCTAAAAAGTCAGAAGAAAAACATCGGCGCAAAATAAAGTAGACCAGAGCTCAGCTTCACAGCCTCCAAAAAACGGTTAGTATAGTCCTTAGCATAGAAAGTAAATTATTTTTGCATGAATAAAAGTGAAGCGTATCTTCTGACAATTTGAAATACAATTAACTGAAGCGTTATGTTGCATTAAATGGTCTTATTTTGTGGAATAAAATGTAATATTTAAGGTTTAACACGAAATAAAATTTTAGCTGTCTCTTTTTACTGGTTTTCGGCCTGTTTTTCATTCCTCAATTCTTCAATTTTGAAGAAAAGTTGCAAAGTTTTTTACTAACGAACCGAATCTTCGGTTGCTGTTGTTGTCTGTGGTTCGACGTCTTGAGAAGTTATAAATGGAGACTGTAAATCTTGTTCATCATCTAAGATAGGTTTGGCATCAGCAAGTGCTGGTTTCCATATTGTTACAGCATCATTTTTTCGTTCAGCTAATAATTTTTGAGTGACAATTTGTAAATCTACTTCATCGTCATGTTCATAATAATAATAATTCATTCGTTTTTTAACCGTTCTTGAAGAAAATAAATTACGTTGTTCTTGTGATTGTTTATCATAACTGTTGTTGTTGGATAGTTGAAGATCTGGATGATTTTGTTCAAAATGTTTATTTAATTTTTTTCTGTGTGCATAGAAGGAATCACAAACACAAATTTCGTACTGTAATGAATTGATAGAAAGTGAGATTGATCGATTAAAAGTTGGATGGATTTTAATTAACTTTAAATAAATATCTATCAAACTGAGTACGTCGAATGCTGCATAATCTTGTTGACTTTTATTTAGTTTAGCTTTTGCCCTAAAATACACAAAAATGTTGACAGAGTTAAACTTCAAAGTAAATAGACTAAACATATTTACCAATTTGAACACTGCTGTTTCTTATCTAATGGAATTTTCAGTATCTGTAGCACCATATCTTGCATAGACCATTCAGTCGACGATACATCAACAACTAATCTACTCTTAGTCTCTGCTCCCTCATCCCTCTTTTCTCCTTCACCCATCACAGTTTGTGACAACCGCTCCGAAGTTAAGAAGGACTTAGAAGCAGATGCTAATTTCGATTGTTGTGATTCCAGATAACAATTTAAATTCACCAGTTCTTTAATCAAAACAATAGAATCAATTTTTGAATTTTGAAAACAGCTATTACTATAACAAGCTTGAACACTAGTAAATTCCCAAACCAAATTTTCATGAAATAATTTTAATATTTTAGAATCAAATATATGTTGTAATAGCTGTTCCATTTCTACTGGAATACAATTGTTTTCATTTTTTGATTGATACAGTTGAAAGATACAGTTGAAAGAATAAAACATAACTTTTTTCATTCGCAACCAATTTGAATTAAAACAGTCTCATTTTGATAGTTGCCTTGTTTCTTCTTTAAATTTTTACATTTAGATGATTCTGTATCAACCGCAAACAATGTTGTTGTTTTTATGATATCTAAACATTTATCAAATACTTCATTGATTGTTTGTGAATTTATGATAATTTTAATGTATGGCTTTCGATAATAATGGATAGTGTTGATTGTTTCAATACTCATTTGTCGTGACTGACTAAACATAGAAAGTGAAACACAAATTTTAGGAAAAAGAGAGACTGTCTGCAGAAGTGACTGCGCAGTTCCAAAAGAAAAACAGCAAAGTGAGTAGCGTGAAAAATTAGAAAAAAACTAGTTTCTAATTTCTTTGCGTTTTTTTCTTTGCTCTTCAAAGATCAACAAGAGGAAGTGAACGCTCTACTTCTCCCTTTCTTCATCTTCTTCTACTGCTGCTAAAAATTGAAAGAAATCAAGCAATCAATAGTCATCAATCAATAGTTAACATTTTCTTTGTTTTTCACTCTGCTCCAGCGTTTCTAATGAGATTTATGATCAAAATGGAATGAACCACTTTGCTCTGAATCCTAAAGTGGTACTGACCATTTTGCAATTTAGCGCAAAGTGGTCTCAAATAAACTTTCAGCAAGCAGCGTTTGTAAAACGTGTGTCAAAACAATGTTCCATATCCGATCATCGACATCGACAATACCACAGTGTTTGCCCGTGACAGCAGCACGAATGGGTAGGGGAAGTTTGTCAAACGGGGCTCATTTCGCCGTTTCTTTACTCGATTTTCCCGATGAAATGTTGTTGGTCATTTTGAAAAAAACTGCGTTTGGTTCAAAAAATGGATTCATTTTTCAGCGTTGACAAACGTCTCGATCGTTTGATCATAGATTGTGTCATTCGTGCTACTTGTATTGATTTGATTGTGAAATCATCGATTGATGACTTCGAGCTCCTTGTCCAGCCGATACTCGATCAATTTTGTTCTCATATCATCATCTACGGAATGTATTCTTCTTGTTAGTAAATATTTCCGAAGGATGCACACTCGATCTCTTAAAATGTGGTGTCATAATATCCCGTTCAAAATAGAGAAATTCGACGAGCAGATCACAGAGCAACACGTCGGACTGTCTGAGTGGTGTGGGAGACTAGTTCGTCACATTTCTTTTCCTGTTCGTTATGTTGTCTATATAAAGTGCGATCTCTTGCCCGAACACTGGCCAAAATTTTGTCACTTTCTGGTTTCTACTGTGTGACCCAGTGATCGTTTGTTTTCCTGTACGACGAGCATGTAATAAAGGAGAGAGGAAGTTTTTGGAGAATCGAACTACCCGAATACACATCGTGCGCAATGGCACAGTCACCGATGCTTCTCCATCAGTTGCCACAAACAATACAAAAAGTTGTGAAATGTCGGTGATGCAAGACATTCAAAGCTCATTTCCTTCAGATTCTTGAAAAATCCGAACGTACCACGTCCGACTCTAAACAATCACTAGAAGTTTTTACAGCAGTCAACCAAAGAATGTCTGTCCTTCCTTTTAAGCTGGATGTTGCTTGTTTAATACTGTTCTATATGAAATGAAAAAGGGAAAGAAACTTTGAAAAGTACAAAAAACAAGGATGGACAAGGTTATCAGTTGAATTTTCTCAAACAGTTTCTGTTACAACTGCCGCAGCTCCATGAACTTCGCTTCATTCATCACATGATGAATTGAATTCATTGATAGTGCTTATGCTTGTAATTCTGCTCTCAGTTTATAGAGACAAGCTCGTTTATCAGAGATGAGATGGATTTGTGTGAAATAGTCAAATGCTCAATCAGTCTTTTCAGCACTAAAAGTGTGTTAAAAACTCATGATGTTGTAGACCATTGCAAGCACACATACTAACGCTTTTTACTCGAGAAGATTTGCGATTATGCGAAGACGCGATAAAAACTCCAATGCATAGTGTAACGATAAAACGGCAACGGCACTGGAAGATTCCGATCGCTTTTTTCGAGAGTCTTGCGTTGGAATGCGATTTGAACAAAAAGACAGCAAGCGATTTTCTTACTGCTGTGCGTGATTAGTCTTACATTTAACAAAAAGTTAATTCTGGCGAAAAAAATGAGGCATACAGTTTGTAAAGTGAAACATACTGAAGATTCTCCACACTGATATCAACTGACCGCGGTTTTCGGCAACAAATTTTTCCGTAGCCACTCTATGGCTTTCGACTTTCTCTTTATTTCTTTCTAAAACATATTCATATTCATTTTAAGCAAACGTTTCTTTTCTTCTCTTTCCTGTTCTGCCGATGATCTATAATATACAATTTTTTTCATTACTAGAGCCTTTACAGTGAAAAGAACAAAAATAAATTTCTATTTCTTAAAAGATTAATAACGAGAGCAGTAGAAATGCTCCAAGAGACAAAAAAAGGAGGTATTCATTAATTGTTGTCATTATCCGTGCATGAAATGAACATTGAGTTATAATAAAAATATTATTTAAGATAAATAATTTATTCATCAATAATTTCACTTGAAAGTTGTATTCAAATGCGAATTCTTTTCTTGCTGACAAAATTAAACTTCAGAATCTTTTTAACCACAAACAATCGAATACAGTTTAATACAAACTTCCTTTTACATGTAGAATTGTTCAGATGGCATAGGCAAAAACAGTGCCAGTAACAGAATTTGTAATATATAGCATTTTCGCACTTGAGTGTAACGCTAAATTACCACTTTCTTCAAAATGCATCGATATTGCACCAGATTTTCTATTGAATATCATAGTTCCATTACCATCACTACTAATAATAAGAAAATCTTTGGTGACTATAGGTTGACCAGCACAATTTTCACAAGAAAAGATTTTTACAAGTTGACCGCTCTTTGTCCGGACTTGATGTATTCCATCAGCACAGGTAAAATAAGCTGATATACCATCAGTGGACGGCGAGAAATCTTTGAATGATCCGTTTACAATCACAGAGGCCTTAGGACAAGAATAGCTCCACAAGATGTCATGTGAATTGAGACCAATTGCATGAAACTCTATGGAACCATAAGTACGGCGAGTGGACACCAAGGCAATGTCGTTCATAATAGCAGGTACCCAATATGTTGAATATCCGTCCCATTCACTGTTTAATGGAACACTCCAAAGTACAGCACCGGTATCGGGATTAGCTTCTCCAAATACACCATTAGATCCTTGACCTGGTTGCGAATTATAGAATACTCTGTTGTTGTACACGGTCGGAGTCCACCAATCGCAACTGAAAGAGGAAACGACAACGCCAGTGTTAAATACAATGGTACCATTATAAGGATCAACGGCAAATAACTGTCCATTGTATGTCCCGCCAGCCATATAGATATAATTCAATCCTGGTGTTGCTCCATATGGATAGCTAGGCCATTGAGCACCACCTCTAGCCGTCCATTTGATATCACCGGTAATCAAATTGATAGCTTGTAAATATATGCCTTGCAGATCACCAACTGACTGTACATAAGCCATGTATTCAAATCCGCCGACCGGCGGTCCCGTATAACTCGCGGCATGTAAATCGATTGTATGAATCACTTTACCCGTTAAAGCATTCAGAACAAATAATTTGCTATCACCAGTTAATCTGCTACTACCAGTTACAAGTAAAGTATCAGCAAATAGTGTACTATAGGATAATCCTCTAGTTAAATTACCCGTCCATACTAATTTGGGATCCGTTACTTGATCTGTTGTTGATTCAATATTCAAATTAATTGGAATAAATCCAGTATGCGCAGGACTACCACCGAATGTCGGCCATTGAAATGAACGACTGGCTACTATTGATTGTCCGAATAATAGGATACTTAACGTGACAAGACTGATCATGGTTTTCAAGATTATCATTATTTCCTTTTCTAAAAGAAATGTATATATGATGGTAAAATTAAAAGATTCCCTGTAGATGTGCGCACACCAATTCTCAGCTGCACTTCTTGTTTTAACTCGGATATACTTCTTCCACGTGGGCACGGCCACTCCTAGTTACCTCAATTTTCGATTCTAAAAGGCTGCCAAAGAAAAATCCTATAAAAATGTATTCATCAACAATTTTTGAATGAGTCACTATACCACTGTTAGTTTCCCACTCCAAATAAAAAATTACGCCATCAATCTAGATGTCACCAGCGTCAGATATTAAATAAAGGTCCAGCGTACGTTCCACCCAATCCGACAACTGCGATTCGTCGCCTCTCCGCCGAGAAATAGTTTTGATAAATTAAAGCACGACACTATACAATCAGTCCGTTGTCACTTGACAATCGGGAAAGGTCTGATCTCGAGAATCATCAGTAGTCTACCGGGTGGGAAGTGTTCATTCTACGGATCGTGCACTGATTATGCACCGTATATAAAAGTTAAGTGTTCAGCTTTCTTTCTCTTTCATTTTCTGTCTCTCACTACAAAGACGAATAGCAAACATAGCTCAAACGTGCGCAATTTATCTTGTCCGATTTGGCAGTATTACTCGTTTAGGCTAGATTGATATTGCCCGTTCGGGTAAAGTATCTGAGGGATGTCATAATCCTGATACGGCCCGTATCCACGTTTCGGAACACTAAAAACATGATACGATGCTTCTGCGTACTTTCCTCAACATACCACAACTTTGTATTAAGAATTCTCTTCTTGTGTGTATTCTCCTTTTAGTTGAGGGATATGAGGATTTTGAGGGTTTTGCTATATTACGGTATCGGTATTCTCTTCTTGTGTGTGTTCTCGCTTTAGTTGAGGGACGAGTTTCAGGGTTTCGGTACTCACTCCCATGCTCCCTGTAACTATTGTCTCATGGTGACTTAAGTCTGCCAGAATCCGATCTAGCTGTGGTTGAAGCAGAATTACAATTCTATCCGAATTTAACCAGATATTCCGCGCAATTCTAGGAACCGTATTACTTAAAATGCATTGTTACGGAGGATCTTTAGATAATTATGATAATAACGAGCTGACAGATTCTGGGTTAAGTATGCGTGCGAGCGAGTAGATACACCGAATTTTGCAGTTTTCTACACCCCACTTATCATTTGATCCCCATATGAAGGTGATTCATCAAAACCGTCAAAATCCTCATATCCCTCAACTATATAGACGATACTGAGAAGCGTACGATACGGATACCGCAATACAGCAAAACCCTCAAAATCCTCATATCCGTCAACTATATAGAAGATACAGAGAAGAGGAGGATACGGAATCGACAATACCCCGATGTTTCGTAATGGGACTGAGCCTAGTTGTTGTTGAATACGTGCGGTAATGGGATTGTGACATCTCTGAAGTATCTTGCCCGATCAGGGAACCTTGTGTCCTTACATTATCGGGAAATATTGCTCCAATGAGCAAGTTTGACCGATGAGGCAATGTAACCCTATGCAGATACAACTGGTCAGTTTTCTGACCGTACAGGAAAGCACCGTATCACCCAGGGAAAACTCTATTTGATGTAATGTTAAAATATAAATAATGAATAAAACAAAAGGCGTCTAGACTAAATCCCAATTTTGTAGTTCTTTTTAAAAATTCAATTTTTGATTTTCATCCCGATAGTCCTTTTTTTGTGTCCATATACAGGTATCTCAATGTCAAGTACGAATTTTTATTGTACAGTAACCATCTACGCATGCCCAATAACAACGAGGATTTATACCACAATTTCCAGAACATTGGCTACTACTTTCACACGATTTTGACCAGCTATTGACAGTTCTGAAGCAGTAATAAGTACATAGTAAAAGTGTTTTCTTGTTAAATATGAAACTCACTCGCTGAGTGCAATAAATTGAAACATAAGTAGAAAGCCAAACAACACCAATAATACTGTATGATTCATTTTTAGTAATACTTACTTTCTAAAATTTTAATCTGAGACGTAAAGTCAGAATAGAAACTTACTTGCTAATAAATACGATGTTTTGAATAAGAAAAAGCTTAATCTATGTTCTAAAGTAGAACAGAAAAAAGATTAAGTTTAATTTTTTTCTCTTTCACAATTACGAACAAAAAACGGAAAGCCTAGCACGATGAGAAAAAGAAACAAAATTTGTCAGGTGCAAAAATACTGATAATTTTGAAAATAAGATTTTCTTTCTAGAGGTCCTCGTGTTACACACTATTGGCCTTGACAAGTGAAGAGACGAATCTGCACTCAAAAACAAAACAACGAAAATACCAGTACACTTCTCAGCGGCTCAACCGTTAACTAAAAAATTGAGGGTCATTATAGTAACTCGTGACAAAAATACGGTCGCTAACAAGAGCATGCTGAATCCGAGCCCTTAAAATGCAGTCATGAGCCCGAGTCCTCAGTCCATTTAGAGTCCAATAATTTATTTATTATCTTAAAAGTTAAATCGATCGGACTTGAAAAATACAAGTTCGACTCTTCAAAAAAACCTCCAGTCCAAGTCCAAGTCCGCCAAAATCTTCCAATCCGACTCGAACTCGCCCAACCCTACTAACAGGACTCTCAATCTGGGCGCTAACTGTGACTACAGATCTCTGTTCCTATCTCGCATAACTTAGGGGTGGTCTGAAAACCTTGTGTTTGTCCTTAACTAATTAGTATTCGTCCAACTTCAAGGTAAAAAGAATTTCTGTAAGCTACATTTTGCATGGGGCACATGGAACAGTTTGAATTTTATGAAAAGGTTTAAGTTTTTCGAAAAAAGGCTATATTTTTTAAAATATTTGATTTTCCTAAAATCTTGTTGTAGTTCCTTAGATCTACTGGATTTTCAGTTGTATTAATGGAAACAGAACAGGATATATTTATTTTTGTAACTTTCTGCTAGTTCTGGAGGAATAATATCCATTCGTTTTCCCGTTAACCACTCTACTTCATACACCGTTCGATAGAGAATTTTACGGACTAAAGTACACATTATTTTGAAAGTTTGCCTTCGTAAATGTATTGGACAAATACTTGACAGATATCTCGATTTTTTCCCTATAATGGCACACAAAAATAATTATAGTTTCTTCTACATACAGGGATTAGGCATAGTTTGTATATAGAAAGATGCAGAATTGAAAAGGCTACAGAGTGAGGGTATAACATATACTTTCAAATTCTAATTTTATCAGATTTATGGACAAGATACCCAACGAATGCAGTCATTTTGACCTATTGTAGAATGGTGAATGAAATACAGTGTTGTACACAAAATCGGACCTGAAACACTTATAATATAGAAAGATGCAGAATTCAGCGTGCTTTAAATTCAGACATATCAGTTTTGTTAAAAAGTATGCCGTCAAGCATTTATATACCGAATAGTATATGACCCTAGAAAACTCAGTCCACAAATTCGAATGATACTTTTTTTGTAACTGCTATATAGTGTACAGAAAACGTTTCTGAGCAAATCAAGGCGCCTCTGAGCTCTTTACAGCACTGTTTCATCAAACAGCATTCAATTTAAGAAAGGCTCCAAACGGCACCAAAATCAATCGGAAAACACGAAAAATATCTCTTTCATTTTTTTACCCATAACTCTAACAAGCTTAGCATTCCAACGAATAAATTATACCTCATTCGATAGCTCTTTCAATTCTGTACTTTTCTATATATAAACTATGCCTGATGTCTGTGAGAGTATCCTAAACTAAAACTATGGAAAAACACAAAATCAGTTGTTGTAAGGCGTTCCAAATTCGAACGTCGAGCACTATTTTATCTTCACTCCAAATATGTATCGTTCGATAGAGAATTTCATGCTGGTTAAAAGTATGTTACTTTGAATTCCTTTAGTGCGCGTTATCATTGAGAAAAATTCAAAATACTAAGAGGAATATTCTCTTTTCGAAAATCCTCTAACTTTTTTAAAAAATGATGCAAGCTCCTGATTTTCAGCTTTACAAAGATATTTTTCTTGCTCAATGTCTAAAACTGCATCTAGAAAAGTATAGTTGAAGGTTCCAGATGAAACAATAATTTCTGGGCACATCGCTTTTCATCTACACCTTTTGTTTGACGGTACTCATCTTGCAAGCCACGTGCAGACCTTTGGTTAAGAGGCACAAACAAGTGACAGAACCAACTATAGTTCCACATAATTAACCCTGGTCTACCTTTAATAGTTTATTTTAGACTCATTATTTGTTGGTTCTTACAGAGCTAAAGGCAAGATAAATAATGAGTCAACAAATAATATGGATCAAAATACAGACAATGCTTTGAACATGGTAGCATATCGACTTTTTTTTTCCATCACAAAAAATGTGATCTGTTCGGTTTTTTCAATAGACCTCTCGCCTATCAAGAGAGGTTAGTGTTAGCGTTGACGAAGGTAAACTTGTGCTTTTTCATATATACTCCACAAGAAGGTGCGTAACTCGATCGATACAAGCGCAGAGATTAAGCCAAGCTGATAAAGTTAATAAGATATTTGTAAGATAGAATCTCACTTTACATAAGACAGAAGATTGAGAAGTAAAATCTTTGTTGAAACCGGTTAGCATACGTATGGTTGATGTTACAAATAGTAGAATGAAATCAACTATGGTTGAAGCGAGAAGGTATCTAACACACGAATTTGTTCTGAATGTGCGACGAGTAAATATCACGATGTTAAACCCAGAACCAATTGTCCCAAGCACTAGTAGCATCAAGGATCCGTAAATATATACTGACTTCAATATGGATTGTAACTGGATGATATTGTCGGAAGGCGATGATGACATGTTTAAAGAAAGATGAACATTCTTCTATATATTCTTTCATCGTACATAGAAACTCTAATGATGATTGTCACACTGCGATGAAGCTCAGCAGTCATCCACTTTAATGAAGAACGTTACGTGCGGCATGTGACGTTCTTCATTAAAGTGGATGAAGTTTCTATATACGATGAAAGAATATGTAGAAGAATGTTCATCTGTCTACAAACAAAAGTGTCTATAGTTTACGTGTAATAAACAGTTTTATTCGATTTCTCGAGCTCGTACAAAGAGACTTTTGCTAAAACAAACACAGACAGCAACAACTCAGCAACAATATTTTGCATAGGAAATGATCGTTATAGTCCAAGTAATTTTCATCCAAAATGTTCAATGTAGTGTCCAACTGCTACATTATAGGAACATCTGTAAATAATAAGAGAGCGACAGAACATATTAAATAGTGCGAAAACTAACGGTCAAGGATTTGTTCCAGTCCTTACTTGACAAGCTGTGATATTACTTCTGTGAGCTGCGAAAAATAGCAAATGCTGTTACTGTGTAGTGTAGTACAAAACCAATGTAGTTAACCAAAGTAAATTCACTTCATGTTTCTATTTTGAGTTACGGACATCTACAGATGCAAACAAAAGTGTCTATAGTTTCCTTGTAATAAACAGTTTTATTCGATTTCTGGAGCGCCTTAAGCAAAATTAATGTTCTTCATCGATGACACAATACCAAATTCTTCTATAAGATAAAAACTTTCATTACTCGCTTCTTCCGTCATCATTATTTCTCTTCAAATACACATATAAGTATTAGCAGCAGAAACCTTAATTTTCTTTTGATGGAAAACGAGGCCTCTTCTGTGGTTACATTTGAAATCACCACTATTCATTATTGCTCTTTGCATATTCTTTATGGGAAAAGCGATTTATCATCTGAGGAACTTTTCTTGTTATTCGGAGAAGATACAGTTCGAATAGGAAAATGAGAAGAATTCTGTTGAACATATTATTATATATCCGTTCCTTCTTCACAAGATTTCGTACCAGAAAGAATAAACACTAACTGTCACGTCTTCAGAAAGCGTATGACGCTCTTCATTACAGTGGATGGATGCTGAGTTTCATCGGAGTATGACAACTATCATTAGTTTCTATATACGATGAAACGAACACGTTCATCTCTCTTTCAACATGTCATCATCGCCTTCCGACACTATTATCCAGTTACAATCCATAATGAAGTCAGTATATATTTACGGATCCTTGATCCTACTAGTGCTTGGGACAATCGGTTTTCGGTTTAACATCGTGATATTTACTCGTCGCACATTCAGAACGAATTATACCACACGAAAACTGAAATATGTAGGTTTCTCACTTACTTTCACTTTCACTAGTCCTTTTTACAACATTTATCACCGGAAGTTTAACTTGACCCATTAATATTTCCGTTGTATGTTTAATAAAAGTATTAAAATATGGGTCGATTTCATTTTTGATTGGTATCAGTTTTAGAAAATATTTTAATACTTCTATTTCATTCGGTATTCTTCTTATTTTCAGATTCGCATCTTTTAAACGTGAAGGTAATTTTATAAAATCTTCATAAGCTTTTGGTAATAAATCTATCATTTTTTCTAATAAAAATTCATTCCATGAGTTATCACATAATAATTCCTGACGTGTATTAGGAATTTCGAAATCAGCTTATACTATAAAACAAAAACTGTAGTTACGTAATGGTAAATAGGCAAATAATGGTTGAGATGGTGGTAATAATACAAACGGTGAACTAGTAATGCCAACAATTAATGGATTTAATGGAAATACACAGGCAGTAATTGTATAATTATCTTTTGTATTATTCAAAAAAGCATTAGCTGAACCATTTTGTCCAGAATGTGAGCAATCTTTATAATAGGATAAATAAAAGTGCGTGATACCACGTGAAAGTTAAGTACCTAAATCTCGGTCATGAAACAGATTTGAAATCTGGTATCTTCAGCAAATAATATTGACAAATAGAGCAATACCAGGGCTGGGCATCTCCACCGAAGTTCAATTTCAACTCAACTCTAACTCCATTTT